AATGCCTCTTTCCCCTCACTCACTCCCACCCCTCTCCACTCTGACACCAGTCTGGCAGTATTCAACAACTGCCATGCCCCCTAAGCCGCAACTCAGGGCTATCCACACCCCAGCCAGTCTCATGGCTTTAAAAAACACCACATCCCCTAAGCCGGGAACTCAGCGCAGGTCAGGAGGTCCTGCCCCTTTGCCTAGGCACTGTCATAAGGGGTCCATGGACTTGCAGTGCCCTTCACCCCTGCCTAGACCTGTGTGGGCAGGTTTAACAGTACATGACCTCATTAGCATAAAACAGCAGGGCATACACCTGAAGCCTATTTTCAACTGCAGCAGCCAAGGGGGAGTTGCAGATTCGTGACATTTCACACCAGCCTGCCCATTAAGCAGGGACCTCATCCACCCACATCAGGGGCCCGAGGGCTGGTGGTACCACCCATTTGATCTAGCCACTGACAACAGAGGTCTGAGAATAAGTAGTGCCTCCCAGTCCCTCCAGCCAACAGGACCAGCTGCAATACCCACCTCCCTATGTAGTCTAGGGGACAGGGACACACCCTCCCACCCAAGCACCTGGGGGCAGCCATCAGTCCCCTTCCTTGCTCTACACATAGCCCCCTAAGCCAGATACCAGTGCCTGCTACAGATATCCATATGCAGTCCAGCCCATCTAGGACTGTAGGTGAGAGTTTGCACTACACACTTGGTGACTGATTACCCAGACACCTGAGCCACATCCACACAAGAAATGTTAACAGACTCCTCGGCTCACACACCTAGTAGCTGCTCTAACCACCTGGGGACAGGATGTGAAAGCTTCAAAGATGCCAATAATCAAAGAAGCTCACACACCCAGCCTACTTGGGCATATCAAAACAAGACAAAAGGCTAGGACACAGTAAACAAACATACAATAAATAAATATAACAACTTACTGATGGCTCAGAGGCAACAGTCAATATCAAATCACATAAAGAAACAGGTCAAAATGACTCCAGCAAGCAACCAAAATAAAGAACCAGGAAACCTTCTGGAGGAAGGTGAGGTCATGGAATTACCTGAGAGAGAATTCAAAAGATTAATACACAGAGCTCTCCAAGAGGTCAGGCAAAACTCAGACCAAGCTAAGGAACACACAGACAAAGCAATCCAGGAATTCAGGAAAACAATACAAGAACAGAATGACAAATTTAACAGGCTACTAGAAACAATAGAGAAACAGTAACTAGAAATCCAAAAGATTAACAATAAAATTTCAGAGTTAGACGACTCAATAGAAGGTCATAGGAACAGAATTGAGGCAATGGAAGTCAGAATCAGTGAGACTGAAGATAAAGCACTTGGCGCCAATTTATATGAGGAAAAATCAGAAAAATGAATTTAAAAAAATGAAGAAAGCCTAAGAATTATGTGGGACACTATCAAGAGGAAAAACCTACGAGTGATTGGAGTACCAGAACGGGGGGAAGAGGAGGGGATAACAGAAAAACACAGAGAGAATTGTTGAAGATTTGCTGGCAGAAAACTTCCCCAATATCATGAAAGACAAGAAGATATCCAAGAAACTCAACAAACCCCACACAGGGTAGATCCTGAAAGAAAGTCACCAAGACATATTATAATCAAACCTGCCAAAACCAAAGATAGAATTTTGAGAGTGGCTAGGGATAAATGGAAAGGCACCTACAAAGGAGAGTCAATAAGACTAAACTCTGACTACTCAGCAGAAACCATGCAGGCAAGAAGGCAATGGGATGACATATATAAAGCCTTGAAGGAAAAAAATTGCCAGCCAAGAATTATATATATAGCAAAACTGTCTCTCAAATACAATGGTGAAATTAGGGCATTTTCAAATAAACAGAAGTTCAGGGAATTTGTAAAAACTGAACCAAAATTACAAGAAATATTAAAGGGAGTCCTCCAAGACTAGAACTAGACTAGAACACAGGACAGAACAACCAGTTATCAACCCAGATAGGGAAGTCGCAAAAACAAGTCAAAGCCAAAAGACTGAAAATAGGGAAAAAGAGACGTCAATATGTAAAGGATGACAACGTCAAAACAAAAAAGAGGGACTAGTGTAGCCATAGAACTTCCATATGAACAGGAAGTTAAGGCAATATTGAGAAATAAAAGATTTGTTTAAACTTAGAAAAATAAAGATAAATTTTAAGGTAGCCACAAAGGAAGCTAACAAATTTACCCATCAAAATGAATTTAAGATCAGATTGAAAACTGTGTACGTGGTGGGGCAACAGTGAGTTTCATAGGTAGAATGATCTGGGTGGGCCGTTTTACATGGAGACCCCAGAGTATGGTGTAAGGTAGGTCTACCCTGAAAGGATTCCTGCAATCTTTGCCTAGAAGGCATTAACTTGGAAGACCACATTCTAGCATCTGTTTGGGGGAAGAGGCCCACGGGCCGCACTGCTCAGTGCATAGTGTACGACTTAACCAATTATTTTTGTATAGTACTCCCAATGTCAGCTGTACTAGAGCTGGGAGGAAGACGATTGACCTCTGCTGGGCCAGGTGAGGGTTGATTATGTACCAGAAACTGAAGGTCTGACTGCTCCTTGTAGTGAGTGAGGGAATTTGGGGCTGATCACGGAAAAAGACAGGCTCACAAGAGTTACACAACAAGCTATTTATTGCACTGACAGCTGCATGCAGGGGGTGATTCTCCACAGCAGGAGGTCTTCCAGAGGCAAGTGGTGCAGAGAACCACCAGGAGGGGACAAAAGTATGAAAAGCCCTCAGAAGAGGATGGGGGGGTACTTATGTGCACCTCATGGAATGTCCTCCTGTAGTAAGGCAAGGAGTCTCTGGGTCATTAGCTCTGAAGAACAGATACAGTTAGAGGTCCTTATAACTGGAGGGTTTTATCTTATGTAGGGCGAGCAGATGTTGGGTACATTTTTGAGGGTTATGTAAAGCAAGCAGGCTGTAAGTGGCTGAAAACCTGCTTATTTGGGCTATTTTTAAGACAATTTAATGTGTACAAATTTGAATTTAGCATTGGTGAGCTTTTTTGGGATAATGGTCCTCAGCTTGCTATGAAGAAGTAAACGACTTGGGCTGATACATAGAAGCCATCTTTGGCTTATTTATATAACACTCCTTAAAATGACTGTCAACCAACCCTCTGACTTGGACCCCTCCTGTAGCCCCTCACACACTACCCCCACCCTGTGCCTCCAAATCCTGGGCCTTTTTTAGGGTCCTGTGTTATAAGTTAGCCTGTTGCTGGGTCTATCCACAGAGCGGTTGTGTTTTCTCCAGTCTGCTAAATCAATTATCATTTGTTCATCTCCAGATTATTTTGTCTTGGTGTCAACTTTCATTTTTTTCCCTTGAGATTTTTACCTAAAGGTCTACCCCACTGGTGTTACTCTCTGGAGGAGGAATCAGTGTTAAACATAGGTGATCAGTATGCAAGGGCAGATTATCCAATTAGGTAACGTAAGCATCTGTAGTGAACAATCTGCTTCTAGGTATAGTTAGCATCTGTCTCTCTCCCAACCCCACAATACCTTCCTACAGAATCAAAGCCTCTTTTCAAATTTATAATCCCTGACAGGGGCGGATGACCCAGTAAGCAAAGTAAGCATGGGCTTACTTGTGCTTACCTACTAATCTGTGGTGAACAATTTTACATGCGTTTTACCACATTAGATGATCTGGTAGGCAAGGTGAGCACTGTGCTTACTTTGCTTATTGGATAATCCGCCCCTGTCAGTATGTCTTGTGTATAATCAAAATACCTCAAAATTCCATGGTTCTGGGGTTGCAGAATGAAGATCTTTGATGTAAGCTTGCCACTACCAGAAATAGGTATTTCTGAAAAACTTGAGATTAAGTTGAATTTGAGCTAATCAAACCCATTCTCAGAGAGGTGCACGCCAAAAGCCAGAAAAACCAAACCAGTTGCTGTCGAATCAATTTCAACTCTTGATGACCACATGTGAGACCAAGTAGAATGTGCTCTATAGGGTTTTCAATGGCTGATTTTTCAGAAGTAGATCACCAGTGCTTCCTTCCAAGGTGCCTCTCGGTGGACTCAAACCTCCAGCCTTTTGGTTAGCAGCCAAGCTCGTTAACTGTTGGAGGTGCACACAGTTGCTCATTATTTAGAGGAAACACGGTTGAATACTTCAGGCAAGAATCCTTTAGTAATAAAGACTATGTCTCATCATTTATCTTTTATATTATTTATAAACCAAATTAAAATAGGGTGATGAAGGAGGTGGAAATAAAACTAGCACCTCTTTCTTAACAGGCCACAGAAACTATATGTGGCTTGAGTTATCTATATAGTTGTGGATGCATTATTTAATTGTAATGCATCTAATTTTTAAAATAAAAGTTGTGTTATAAATAGTAATGTTTTCATTATAAAATAGTTTAGCTAATGAACTTTCATCTTTTGTTACCATAATTTTAGGCACCTAACGATCAACTAGATTCACAAAATAATTTCCACTAGTGCATTCTCCCCTCAAAAATCTTCCATTTTGAAAGGTGGAGAAGGTCAGTAAAAAGCACAAGGGAAATTGCATACAAATATTACTATTTGCTTTCAGAAAAACTACTATTTTCTTTCAGTCAACAAAAGCTTGATTTTGGGGAGGGGAGTTACTTGTATGATAAAAATCTGTCAATTGGATTAAATGTATCTCATTTTGGAAAACATTAGATCAATATAGAAATGATTTCTTGTTTTCTATTTTATTCAGTTAAAAGTATACCTGACTGCAAATACAGTTTTTAGGTTGGGGTTAGTGGTGGGATTTTCTTATCTTTCTCTCTCTGTCATCACTCCTGAGTTAAAAGGTTTTTCGTACATGGGCCAGGACTAACACCTACCATGGCACCATGCCCCTGGTGGATAGCCAAAGATGTCTGGTGAACTGTTGCTGCTTCAACAGACAACATGCCTCCATTTATTTCAATCAAGCATCCACTCATTCTAACCTTTATGTCTGTCACTTTCTTTATAGGGCATCTCAAAAGAATGTAAAGGAGAAGAAATTTTCCTAGGTCAGTTTATGTATAACAAAAAAGAAACCACCGTTCAAACATTTGAGCTCCAGGTAATTAGAATCCTGGGGAAAAGGTATGGGTGAGCTTCATCACTGGAAGGGATTTGTTAGGGTTGCTTGATGGAAAGTGGTGTGTGAAAATAATTATGACAAAAGATTGCATTAAGTAATGCTCTTCTGAATCCTTATCTCCAATTGCTTAAGTGGATTTTAATGCAAAAGACAACCCAATAGGAAAGCAGTTTCTAAGCCAGACTTTTCCTCATCTGGTATCATTCACTCTATTTAAGTTTTTCAGTCCTTAACTATTTCCTTCCCTTGATACAATTAAGTTTGATAGTCACTATTCCATCTTCCTTGGGTAATGTAGGTAGGAATAATGGTTCAATATAAGATGGTTAGAGGCAGAGAGAAACTCAGAGGAAGGCAATAAATATTTAATATCAGATAATGAAAGCAAAACTTCTTTTCCTAACCCAATGAAAAAGAATGCTATTAACTTATAAACCCCTTGAAGCTCACTAAGGTGTATGAAATACAGTATTTTTTAAAATTATTTCTCATTAGCCATAAGAAGTAACTGAAGAGATGTAGAAGACATTTTGTACCATGTAAAAACAAGTGTTTGATGGCACTTCTTGGCCAATGGTCAGAAAATTCAAGCCAAAAATAATGTATATGTTAGAAATAAATATAGAGTTTCATATTTGATTGTATATTATATGCATTTGGGGTCATGTATGTGTTTCATATTTGGTTTCAGAGATGTGTTTCTCTCTCTCTCTCTCTCACACACACACAATCACACCCTCCATCCCTGGCATAGTCAACAAGGAGCACTGTGAGGTCATAATGGTGGCAGGGAGAGGGGACTTGGGTATCCAGACAGCTACATTACCTTCTTCCCCTATATTTGTTTTTATGTATGGACTCTTTACTTTCACTATCTTATTTTCTCATCCATTAAACAAGTATTTGAAAATCCTTGTGCTAAAAGGAGAATCTCAATTTCCATTATTCCTAGCCTTCATTGGTATTCTTTGAGATGGTGTCTTATTTCCTAAAGCTGCCATAACAAAATATCACAAAGTGAGTGGCTTTAAAAACCAGAAATTTATTTTCTCACAGTTCTGGAGGTTAGAAGTTCAAATTAGAGCCTCAGCCATGTTGATTCCTTCTGGGGCTTTGAGAAAGGAATTGTTCCATGCCGCTCTCCTAGTGTCTGGTGGCTGTTGACAACCCTTGGGGTTCCTTTGCTGCTTAGAGGTGCATCTACCTCCTTCATCACATGGCATCTGTATGTGACTGCCCTTCTGTTTTATAAGATGCCACTCAGAAGGGATTAGGATTAGGACCCACCCTACTCCAGTATGGTTAGTTAACTGGTAATATCACCAAACAGGGTCACATTCACTGGTGCAGGGGTTTAGACTTCAATATATCTTTTTGGAGGACACATTTAATTCATAGCAGGTAGATTTCTTTTTAAGGCATTAATTTGATCTCTTCTTGATTTTCAGCATGAAGTTTCTGAATCTTTATTATGCGTGAAACTGAAAATCCTCAGCAATTGGGGGCACCCAAAATATACTTGTTTATATCGATTCAGGGTTCATGGCAACCCAGGAAATCACATTTAGAACAGCTGCTGTTGGAGGTCAAGTCTGCAGGTCAAGAATACCCTTGTTTTCTTATTCCATTAGATTATACAGCACCCCTGGGGGTCAAAAATTGGGAGCGGGAGAGAAACTTCAAAGTGGTTCATACTTGCCCCCCCCCACACACACACATACCACACACACTGAATGGATTTTACTAATAAAGAAATATGAAAGTAAATTCAATCTCTTTGTGGTAGTTTAGCTTTTGAGGCTGATTCACATGGTTGGAGTGCTGAAAAATGAATCTGTATTTAGAAGAAGATGGTATTATTCAACTGTGTTTCTCATACTATTATCTTTGCATTATTTTATTCATTCATCCATACTAGGCATAGATGTCCACTACACCACTATCATTTAATGTTGATCTGGAGGTACTGGTCAATGCAATTAGATACGAGAAGGAAATCTGAGGTAAACATCAGGAAGGAGGAGGTCTACTTGCAGATGATTTAATAAAATCCTTGAAACGCAATAAACTCAACTGAAAAAACAACTATGAACCATGAAAGACTTTTCAATCAGTTAGTGGATACAAAATTATCAATTTCATTCATAAATAACAACCAGTTAGAGTGTATAATTTACAAAAGTCACAACTAACATAAAAAATACAATAAAAGAAGAAACCAAAATACCTACATGAACAAAACTCTAAGACAGCAGTTAATGGCTTGAAGTAAGTCTTCAGTAAATGGAAATACATACTATATCCTTGGATAGGAAAACTCAACTGTAAAGATATTAATTCTTCCTAAGGAAACTTATACATTTAGCTTGACCCCAATTAAAAACCAGAAAAAAATTATGAGATAATTATGAGCTATTAAGTAATTATTATTAAAAACATTTTTTAATGTAATAATAGTCATGGTGACCCCACATGTGTCTGAGTATAACTGCGCTCCATAGGGTTTTCAATGGCTGATTTTTGGGAAGTAAATCACCAGGCCTTTTTCCCGAGGCACCTCTGGGTGGACTTGAATCTCCAACCTTACTGTTAACAGCTGATCGCATTAACCTTTTGGACCACCAGAGGACTAGGTAGCAACTGGACTGGTTGATGATAATGGCAGTGTGATTTTGTTATACATACATATACATACATATATATATATAAGAATTCTTATCTTTTATAGTTAAATATTTACCGTTGAAATGCTGTATCTGGGATATGTTTCAAAATAATATAAAAGGATGATGTGAGTGGGAGTATCAATGAAGAAGACTGGTCATGAATTGATCACTGAAGTTGGGTGCTGGTCCATGAGGATTCATCATCCTATTCTGTCTAACTTTATATATGCTTGACATTTTCTATTTTAAAAAGTTTTTTTAAAAGAATAAAACACACATAAAAAACCAGAATATGTTTTAAACCAAATAGATTCTAACTTCCATATGGAAATATAAACTTAGTAAGAAGCCAGGAAACCTCTGAAAAAAAAGACAAGCAACAAAGGGAAATAGCTGCATGACATAAATATAAATCAGTAATTAAACTGCATACCACTGGCACACCAACAGACCAATGGAACAGACAATAAATAAACAAAACAAAACAAAACCATTGCTGTTGAGTTGATTCTGACTCATAGTGACCCTATAGGACAAGGTAGAACTGCCCATAGAGTTTCCAAAGCTGTAGATCTTTATGGAAGCAGACTGCCATATCTTTGTCCCGTGGAGCAGTGGGTGGGTTAACAGCTGAGCGCTTAGCCACTGTGCCACCGGGGCTCCTTTTAATAAATAGCTTAGAACAATTATGTAACCATTAAGAAAATAAAATTGCATACATATATCACACTATACAATAAGATAAATTCTGAACAGGGTAAAGATTTATAGGTAGGAAATAAAATCATAAAAATATTAAAAAGAAAACATGGGATAATCCTTGTATGGCATTGTAGAGAGAAAGGCCTTTAATATGTCTCCAAAATTCAGAAGCCATTAAAGAGAAGAACAAATTTTACTACATAAAAATCAACAACCTCTGCATGGGCAACAAAATCTTGAATAAAATGAAAAAAAACTCATCATATCACAAAGGACCAATTTTTCTAATATAGAAAGAGTTTCAAGAAGTCAATAGTAATATCATTAACACTATAGAAAAATGGACAGAAAGTATTCTATTTCTTAAATAATTTTTATATGCTTAGATTGTTCATGTAAACATGAAAATTATTCAAAATTATTTAAGAAAAATGGCAAAAGTTAGAGTGTGGTACCATTTTTCATCAATGAAATTAGAGATAACATTTTGTTGGCAAAGCTTTGGGGAAACAGGCTCCCTCACAAAATGCTGCCAGAAATACAGCATTTATCAAGGGAATTTGGCTATATTTATCAAAATTAGAAATGCATATGCCCTTTGATTCAAAAATTTATCATGTGCAAAATAACATATATAAAAAGTTATTCATCATAGCATTGTTTATCAAGAAGGAAGGGTAAAAGAGACAAGGGTGGGAAGGACACAAGATAGAGGGACATCGGTGGGAGTGAAATGTTTCACTGTGTATTTGTAATATTTTATTTTTGAACCACATAAAAGTATTGTCTAATCAGACATTAAATTTTTTAAAAATAGACATAGGCTCTTGTTTTCTTAATAATGGTCAAAGTGGAAAGATGGGTATTAAATAAATGATACATATTTTGAAAAGGAAAATATGAAATGGACACACATAAAAACAGGGACAGTTATCCTGGGGGAGTAGGGAAGCTCCCTGAAGGAAAAGATTTTGTGATAGTGGTCCTCAGGCTAAACTCTGTATGAGAAATACCCAATCACGCCAGGGAATTAAGTGAGAATCAATGGGCTTGCTGAAACACCAGAGGATCAGGAAGATCAAGTGGAGAAAACAATCAGAAAAACCAGGGTGCTGCCATTGCTTATTCTCTGAACCTGAGGATGTGATTTTGATGGGGTGGCTTGAAAACTGGAAAGCCTAGATGAGTTTTACTTGGCATAGTAATGTTAGCCCTAATAATAGAAAATCTATCCTTGAGGACAAATTAAGGTCCTCAGTTCTATCAGAACCCTCTTGAGCTGAGTGCCCAACAAGGGTGTGTCCACTTATGGAGACTCAGGTCAAGGGAAGCCACAATCTGATCCTGTGTATATTGCCACCTAGCTTCAGCTGAGTTTCTGAACCCTTTGCTAAATGAATCGGAAGCTTTAGCTACTAATACTCTGTGTGTGTGTTTCCTACCTCCCACCTGAAATATTGCACCTGCATTGAGAAAGTGGCCTTTTGATTAACACATTAAAGCCATATGGGGGGAGTACTGAGCAAATGCGGGGTGGTCTGTAACTAAAGTGAGGCACACGTGTGGCACTTTTGAGGCACGAAAAGAAGTTCAAGAGTTTTGCAAAAATAGCATGGCAATGGGGCTGAAAAATATAGGCAGGGCTACTCATGAAAGAGTGTTCTTCCTTTTTTGTTTTCTAACTCCAGGTCTTTGCACACCTCAAAGGACACGGCATTTCTCAAGCTGAAAGAACTGAAATAAAAATTCGAGCCTCAAGTTGCAATACTGAAGGATTCTATGGACAAAATATTGAACAGCACAGGAAGCATCAAAAGAAGATGGAAGGATTACACAGTCACTTCATTCAAAAAGAACTGGCTGACATTCAGCCATTTCAGAAGGCAGCAAATGATCAAGAACTGATGGTACTGAAGGAAGAAATCCAAGCTGCACTGAAGATTGAAGTGTTTCCACAAACAGATGCAATGCTGGAAGAGCTCACTCCTCTATGCCAAGAAATTTGGAAGACAGCTACCTGGCCAATTGACTGGAAGAGACCCATGTACGTGTCCATTCCATAGAAAGGTGATCCAACAGAATGTGGAAATTATCAAACAATATCATTAATATTACATGCAAGTAAAATTTTGCTGAAGATAATTCAAAAACAGTTGCAATAGAACATCAACAGGGAACTGCCAGAAATTCAAGCTGGATTCAGAGGAGTACGTGGAATGAAGGATATCATTACTAATATCAGATGGACCTTGGCTGACTGCCGAGAATACCAAAAAGACTTTTATGTGTGTTTTATTGACTATGCAAAGGCATTCGACTGTGTGGATCATAACAAATTATAGATAACATTGTGAAGAATGGGAATTCCGGGACACTTGAATGTGTTTGTGTGGAACCTGTACATAGACCAAGAGGCAGTCGTTCAAATAGAACAAGGGGATACTGCATGGTTTAAAATCAGAAAAGGTAGGTGTCAGGGTTGTATCTTTTCACCATACTTGATCCATCTGTATGCTGAGCAAATAATCCGAAAAGCTGGACTATATGATGAAGAACAGGGCATCAGGATTGGAGGAAGACTCATTAACGACCTGGAGGATGACACAACCTTGCTTGCTGAAAGCGAAGAGAACTTGAAGCACTTACTGATGAAGATCAAATACCACAGCCTTCAGTATGGATTATACCTCAGTATAAAGAAAACAAAAATCCTCACAACTGGACCAATAAGCAACATCGTGATAAACAGAGAAATGATTGAAATTTCAAGGATTTCATTTGACTTGGATCTACAATCAACGCTCACAGATGCTGCAGTCAAGAAATCAAAGGACGTATTGCATTGGGCAAATCTGCTGCAAGAGACCACTTTCAAGTATTAAAAAGCAAAGATGTCATTTTGAGGACTAAGGTGCGCCTGACCCAAGCCATGGTATTTTCAATCACCTCATACGCTTGCAAAAGCTATTCAGCGAATAAAGAAGACTGAAGAAGAACTGATGTATTTGAATTATGGTGTTGGTGAAGAATATCAAATATACCATGGACTTCCAGAAAAACGAACAAATCTGTCTTGGAAGAAGTATAGCCAGTAAGCTCCTTAGAAATGCAGATGGCGAGATTTTGTCTCATGTACTTTGGACATGTTATCAGGAGGGACCAGTCCCTGAAGAAGGACATCATGCTTGCTTAAGTAGAGGGTCA